CGTTTGCCCATCGTAAGGTTTAGACTTTAGGATTTTAGAAGATAGAAATTTGCTTTATTCTCATATTCTTGCCAAATGTAATTCGTTCTTTGTTATTTTGTTTCCGAGGTGATTATTGGATGAGGGTTGTGCGCTTGTTTATAGGTGTAGGTAGTGTGAATCAGATGTTTATTGTTGTTATTAGATTATTTTATTGTAAATCAGCGCATTATAAAGTGTGAATAAATTTGAAGATAGTTAAAGTAAGTAAAATTTATTATTTGAAAGTGAACATGAATTAAAATAATATTAATACTTATGTCGTACTTACCTAGTCGAATTATTAAACTATTCAATTTATTTATTAATTTATTTTATTTAAACAATGTGTGTTTTGATTATTTATTATTTGTGCATAAAAGCAGCGCGTTTTATAAAAAAAGTCCTCCCTGGAGATCACTTAAAAGTTCCACGAGATATACGTGCTTTTTCATAACATTCAAGAAAGAACCTAACTTCAAAAAACGCAATAAAAATTAACGGATCGTTGAAATTAACAAAATATAATAACAAACCCTTGTTTCATCCATTTATATAAATACTATAATGATATAAATATTTGATATAATTGTTATTTTTGGTTGCAAATAATCCACCTAGAGAAATGTATTGCTTTAAAATCATATTAAAACAGACCGAGGCAGGGTTCCATTGTTAACTTCATAAATATTAAAACTTTAGGCAAAGTACCATCGAAGGAAGACCAAAAAATTAGAATAGAGTGTATAGAAAAATCGTTATTAATAATTTATTACCAAAAGTTATTTTTTTAAAAATGTGAGTATTTTTACAGTGCCTCACGAGAAAGTAAGTCCTCAACAACAATTCTCGAATTACCTGTAATTACGCGATGGGGGATATGGATTAAAGCAGCTATATTCTATGCAGAAAATTTTGAAGCAATTAAGGAATTAATTTTGGATTTAGAAGACAACTAACAATGTGTAGTGCAAAGAAAAGAATTGTAAAAAAATTATCTTGTTTCTAAGCCATTTGTGTTTATAAAGGTTAATTTTAGTATTTTACCTGAGGTAATAACTTCATTGGAAAAGAAAAATGTAAGTTAAAGCTATTCAACCCGGGACCCCTGCGTCCACAAGCCAACGCTCTAACCACTGAACTACACACCCCCTACTTTTGTTTTTTTTTATTATTTTTAACAAATATGCATTTGCATATTTAGGCATAATTGGACAAAATAGCTGCATATTTTTTGTAAAAACGATGCATATATATGCGCATATTTTGCTAATATTTTGATGCATATATTCCGCCCTCTATTTATAATGAATAACCCTGAACCTAATAGTTTTCAATAAAAATGATTTAATTTTAATTTGCACTTTTTTACGTAGATTAAAGAAATATTATGTAATTTCGTGTTTGCTTGGTGCACACATTTTGCGACACACTGTATATTCAAATCCAAAATAGGCTTATTTTCTTTTAAGACATAACTAATACAAATTTATTAACAAATAATGTTTTGAAAATAATTTATGAGCTTTACCAATTTAGATAATAAAATAAAAAAAAAAACAAAAAAGTTTGCTCGTGGGTTTGAACTCCAGACCCCTCGCATCAAAGATGAGGACTCTCCGTCATTGATACATAAAATTTAATTTTACTTTTAAATACTGATAAGACCAATTTGGTTGTAGTTTCAATTAAAATCTCGATTTATTTCTAAATTTAGACGAATATCTTGTGAAATGCTATTATTTATCGATTCTTCACAAAAATCAATATTTTTAATTATTGTTATGTGAGCCATTTCATTATTCAGTCATGCTCTAACCCTACAAGTCCCTCTCTCTTTTATTTGGCCTTTGAGGCTCAACTTGTCCCATTATTATACATAATTAAACCCCTTAAGACCAAACCTATGGGACGACTATGGTGGAGACACTTTCGCGAACATTCCAGGGTCAACGAGATACTATTTCTAGAACGTGATAACGTTTCTGGTACATACTGGCAATTTTGGTGGGGGGAGCATTCTCGACCACCAATTTGTATATAAATTGGTGGAGGAGAGCCATCGAGATCAGTTGTTATATGGACAGTGCAGATAAATAGTAATTAGTAGATAGACAGTGGTGAATATAAATAGTGATCAGTTTAAAGACATTCGAGGTATATATAAATTAAATAGTATTGTTTAAAATAAATAAGTGTTTAAATAAATTATTAATAAATAAACTGTTGTTTGAAAATAAACAAACATCACATTATATTTAATCTCAATAACTAAAAATATTTGTATTGACAATTAATTTGACAGAATTGTCGCTCTAGAGTTCCAACATCTGACTAGTAAATAAAATCGTTAGTTGAATTATTGTACCAATAGATGTCAGGCGCGATTGCCTCCAATAACTTTTACATGGCGATTATCCTACTACTAGTCTAAGGTCCGAAGTAAGGTTCACCTTCACCCATCTGTTTAATGGATGAAAGTTTCTTTTTATTACATCAAATATATTTATAAATATACCGCAAATGGGTTGCCTAAGAAAATATGGTCCAGACTATTTTTTTTTTCTTAAAGTAAAAAAAACGACACCCTGTAAAGTATTCCCCAGATGCTTCAACTATGCCCAAACTTTAGTCAGCTTACCGCAGGATGGATTAAAGCTTAAATTTAAAATTTGGTGTTTTTCTCTTTATCCGTTTTTGAGTTGTCTTCAAAATTCGAAATTTGCACTTTTCCTCAAATATCTCGAAATAGGTTCATTTTAGGAAAATCATGTATAGAAACAAAATAATAGATAATGACATCATAAACAACTTTTATCATGATTTTTATACTTTACTTATCTGTACACAAAAAGGAAAGTAAAAAATGGCCGTGACCGTATTTTCTTAGGCAACCCATTTGCGGTATATTTAAAAACATATTTTATTTAATGAAAAATAAGTTTTATCCATTAAACAGATGGGTGAAGGTCGACCCTACTTACGGATCCTGGACTATACTGTTCTTTATACAATGATTTAAGTTCTAAAATACACTTTTATTGTATACTAGCGACACTTCATAATAAAGCGGAAGAATTTGTAATATAATAAGGCATACGCCTTCTTAAAACCTTCTTAAGACCTTCTTGTCTCTTGAAGGTCGCAATGGTCAAAGCGCTAACAAATAACTGGAGCTCATTCTTTATCTGTGCTTTGGGCTGATCACTTGGTAAATATTTCAGTAGCGTAGACATTTTTTAGTCTCAAATAAAGTTATTATAAACATTTTAATATAAATACTATTGGGTTCAGTAGTAAAAACAAAATTTTGATTGACCAAAGCAGAAACTGGTCTACTAAAATTTATGAAAGAAGAAACAATGAAGGAAGTTGTTATCCCTCTTTTAATGATAAGTTTTTTATAATAAATTTCAACACTTAACTAAATTTTGTATGATGAAAATTAATTTTTTTATAATCCTACTTTGCTAAAAACTACATATTTAAAAGATTAAATAATTCATAATTTGAAACCTTTGACCGCAAACAATCTGAAGATTTACTTTCCATTTATATCACATTTGTTTTAAAAATATTTTTATCGCCAACCGTCATTAAAGCCCTGCATTACCATAACGATTTGCGGAAGTAAACAAACACTATATCTCACTGTAAAAATCAAATATTTTATCTGCCGCTAATATTTGTCAACGTAGCCATGACCGTCTGACAGAAATAGTATGTAACTAATTTGTTTTGTATTGTTCCTGTTTGTTTACTTTGTCATTCTAAACTGTGTTATAATATCTTCTTTTTTACTTCACTCCATAAAAGGGAAGAATTGTAATCGTAAAAAGTCACCTTCCGAGATTATTTCATATTTTTACGGTTTAGGATTACGAAAAACCGATTCCGTCTGTCTGTTCGTCGTCTGTCTGTCTCTCTGTCTGTCTCTCTGTCTGTCTGTCTTTTGGCACGATAGCTCAAAAACTGCTCTATAGAAAAACTTCAAATTTTATATGAAGATCAGGTTCTTTTCTGGTTCAAAACCAGTTATACTTCCGATTAGTTATATACAGGGTGAGCGGTTTTTTTTTTTTGATAATAAGTCGGCCGATTTCGACCAAAATTGGTATCTGAGAATTTTGAAGCCAAAAATAGCGGATCCTAAATAAGTTTTTAAAAATTCAAAATGGCGTTGAAAGGAATCTCATTAAATCAAAAAAGTCCCCCTTGAATGGAATAATAAAAATCGTCCTTTTGGTTTGTGTAACTGGACCATTTTAAAAACAGCCAATGATTATTGTTCAATGAAGTGAACTTGACTAAGAATACCGAGTGGACGCGAAGTAAGATTTCGGGTGAGATCAAAAGAAAGATCGATGGAGAGAGAAATGTGAAGAAGGGTTTTTGGTTTGGTGGTTTTAATTTTAATTTATTCAAATTTAAGTACTTAGGCGTTCCTTGTTTTTACAATTTCTATATCGAGGGAAGTTTTGGTTAAAATACTTAACCGATTTTTATTAATTATTATTATTTACGGTTGGTGATAAAAGTTTGTATGGACCACGTCAGCAAAGTACCTTTATCGAATACGCCATGTTACTCGCCTCGCTCGCATCTCTTGCTCGGCTCATAATCTCAAGACTGGTTCGGTAAAGAATCACTTTGCTGGCTTGTTACATAAATAACTGAAGACACAAGTGGATGAAGGTGTCATGTCACATTTTTCAAAAAAAGATTTTTTAGGCCTAATATACTTAAAATATACCATACTTTTTGTGTTGGTTCTGATTTTTTGATAAATAACAGCTATTCATCCGATAGGAAGGTATCGTGAGCCATATATCATAATGCACTTGTAAAACTTTAAACTTGTTTTTCTCGAAATAATCTTTTTGTGACATGACAACTTTATCCACTTGTGTCTTCAACTATTTTAAGAGAAACAATTAGATATTGAATAATTATTAATGATTTTAACATCAACTACATCTTACCTGAATATGTGGACTAGTATTCTGTTTTGACGAGTTATTGCTATATCGTGCCCCGACTATAGTGAGATAGTCTATGAGTCGGGGACAGAGGAATTGCTTTTCGGCGTCCAGGGACAT